ACTCCTTTGGACCGTGGGGAGCATCGTGCAAATCCAGTGGACGCAGCGCAAAGGGCCACTGGCCTGGACAGGAGAGCAGAGGGCAGAGAAGAAGGAACTGGCCCTCGAAGGAGAAGAACCGCCACAGCGTGCTTATTTACATGGGCCTCTAGGCCACTGCAGTCCCGAACCGCTAACAGTTCTGGGTACAGTAATAAGATAAAATAAGTAATAGGATTAAGGCAACTGCCAAACAGGAGCCAAGAACTGCTCCGAGGGAAGAGGGGTGATTCTGTCCTCCAGAGGCTTTGCACATTCATCCCGAACTCCCTTTCCCCTGAAAGCAGAAATGGGATCCAAACGCCGGGGGGGGGGGGGCAGACAGGGCCAGAGCTGTGGGTCCTGCCAAAGGTCCCGATTCAGAAGGGGAGGCCGTAGCTGAGGCCAGCAGACAGGTGAGTCACAGTGCGCAGTGTTCCCCTTTCTTGCGGCTGAGCGCGCTACGAGTCACTGAAGGCTGCATCCTAAAATTCAAAATGACATTAGGCAGAATGGAAAAACTGGCCAGTGCCAGATGTTGGGCTCTGTGCTTTAAGGTCTGGCCTAGGGAAAGAAGTGACCCAAAGTGCGTGAAAGGGAAGTCTGCGTTTTGGTGCAAGGGCCGAGAGCCGACAGGACAACGATGAGCAAACTGGAAACGTGGAAAGCCACGCGTAAAAGCCGTGCTTCTGCCAGAACTCAGCTCCCCAAAGTACGCTGTGGCCTCCTCGGCTTCCTGCCCCTTCATCTTCACAGCAAGCCTCGAGTGGATCGTCCCCGTGGATTACTTCAAACGCTCCCGGGGAGGCCCTCTCCGGCTCCCTTCTCTGGAACAAGGCCACCTCCCGGGGCCCTTCGGAACGGCCTCCCCCCGTCTGCGGCCGGCCCCGACCCCGCAGGCCGTTGGAAAGGCAGTCAAGATCGGCTGTTTCCCGGGGCCTTTGGGTGTGGGGGCGCAGCGTTCCCAGCTGGTGAAATATATTTTAGTCCTGACTGTTATTTACTGTCATTATTTTAGTTGACTTTAGGGGTACGTCCTAGTTTTCGTTTGTATTTTTCTTTAATGATATTGCACGCTGCCTAGAGTCCCATTGTTTGAGTTGGATGACCGTATAAATGTTCTAAATAAAATAAATAAAACAAGGGACACCCGCACAGTGTGGCTGATTCTTACACATCCCTTGTAGAAAGATTAAATCCATATTTCAGGCCAAACCTTGCAAGGCTATCCCCACAGTGCCATTAATGGCTGGAGGCCACCGAAGACACCCCAAAGCCGTCCGCCACTCCAGAATTACAACATCAGCTCCCTGATACGGTTGGTAGAAACAAAAATATTTAAAAATACTTTGAATTCACTTGATGTATACTTTACTTTGTAACGGTGTCTTCAATAAAGTTGGGGGAAAAACATGCCAATCAGTTGTACAGCAAAGGATCAGGTGAAATAAATGCCGTGCCCTGCAATCTTCTTTGCGTAAAAGAAATGGATCGGACAAGAGTCATATTGATGTTTTCACTGTTTTCATGGAGCCCAGGAGGGGAACTCAAATTGTGAAACTCAATGCACAAAAGTCTTACTAAGAACCTGGATGTGCTAGATGGGCCTGGTTAGCAAAGCTTTGATTGTCCAAAGGTGAGATAGAAACTAAGACAAAATCCCCCACCACACCCAGCGACAACACGCACAAAAGTTGGTGTCACTCACCACCTAGTTGGAGACTGCACAAAACTGAGAATGTACAGTATTTTGTCTTCTTGCAAGCTCAGAATGAACATACTGCGTTCTAGAGGCTTCACTGAATCGGGGTGTCCGCGGGTTAGGGCCAAAAAAGTCAAGATGGTGGCTGTGACCGTGCAAACAAAGCTCTGCCAGTCTTGATGGGCCTTGTGGTGACCATCTTGACTTTTTTGACCTTACCCCACAGACACCCCTGTTTGAACCACTGAAAATGATCTGTGATCATGCCTAAGGTTTCGCTGCCCAGAACAAAACTGACCGGGCTCCCAGAGTGGTTTTATCGGGTCAGGGTAGGGCAAGGCTAGCGCACGTTGCCCTCGACCGCTCACGGCCTTCGTTCTTCCCTGCTCTTTCCGCCCTCCACGCTTCTGCCCGGAACAGCCACACCTGACTGGCATCCAGAGCGCAACAGAGCCCTTTGGTTCCGCATCCAGCCCAAAGATGCTTGTTTAGGTTTGGGCACAATAGCGGCTCTGTGCCAGGCCCAGCAAACGCACAACCCGCTTGGCAGGTGCCTAAAGCGTAGGGCGAACCTGGGCTCCCCAGGAGTGCCCTCTCGCTTGAAGCGGAGTGCGCCGGATGGCCACTGAAGGCTGATGACTACCTCTAATTTGGCCCTCGGGGCTGCCCCGAGGCCTCTGCGATGTCATGGGGCTGGATGGAGGTGAGCCCTCCAAACGCCGCTTGCTCGCCTGTCTTACAGCCCGGGGGCCTTCAGCCCCCTCAGCTGTCCGGCTCCTCCGGGGGTGTTTTCTGTGGTTGCCTCTGGCGCTCTTGCCAGGACCAGTCAGCAGGTCAGGGAGGGGGTGGGCAGCCACCCCAAAGGATCGCGTGGCTTTTGTTTTTAATTCCAGCCACTCTGCTCAACCCATTTCTAAATCATATGTTTTATATATGTGTATATATTGCCATCAGTATCGCTCTGCATCTCCTGGGCTTCCTTGCTCCCTTGACCGCATCCTTTGGTCTGCGTCTGTCCATTACATGCCGTCCTTCCCTCGTCCGCGTCCTTTGCGGCAGTTGTTCTCCAGCCTGCGTCTTGCCTCGCCCGCAACTGCTCAGTGCCGCCCTCCTGCCCAGCCTGCTTTTTCATACTTCCCATTCCTGCAGCTCCGCTCACCTGGGGCGTAATTCTTCCACAATTTCTTTCCTTCTCCAGTTTCCCTTCATGCTGTTGGGAAATTAAGCTGCTTCTTTTTCAGTCAGGACTCGCTCTTGCAGGCGTTTTGCTCCTTTCTTTGGCTTCGTTCCTTTCTTTCCATTCTTCCTACTCAGCAAGTCTCATCACCCAGATCCCCCGCTAATTCTCCCTGTTTTATTTTATTTTACTATCGTACGTCTTATTTATCACATGCATATGGTTCCTGTTTGCTCAAGCCAAGGGCAGTGGGGAGAAAGCCTGGCTGGCGTTTCTGTGTTCGTCGCGGAGAACGTGACGGGCCCAGCCCTGCAGCCGCAGCAGATGCCTCGGAGTGGCTGGGTTTCCTGGCGAGGAGCCACCAGAAGTGGCAGCCTGGGGCATCGGAGTGGCAGGAGCAGCCAAGCTGAGGAAGCCCTTGTGGGCGCCCTGGCATTCTGCCCTCTGCTGGCGCCTGGGCTCCTGTTTACTGGACTGAGCCGTTTCTGCCTCGGTACCAGTTGTGGTCGTTAAACGAAACTCCCCCCTCCACTTTTCTCTCTCTTCTTCCCATCAGCTCTGCTCCACAAGAGCTTCGTTCCCTTCATTCGGTTCTAGCCTCCCCTTCCTCTGTTTCCTTCTCTGCTCTTCTGCAGATGAGGGCTGATCGGGAGACAGAGGACCAGGACCTTCTCAACTGACAGCTGCCGTGGTTAGAAAGCCGCTCTGTTCCCGAGAGCTTTTGAGAAAAACCGTGACAGGCCGAGGGCTCTTTACACACCTGGAAGCTGTTTCTCACCGAGCGAGGCGGCGCAAAGAGTGTTGCGTGATCCAGGAGCCACTAAGAGTGATGCTCCATCCTTTTCTTGAAGTCTGAAGGCCAGAAGGGTCCAGAAGGGAGCAGATGAGAATCAGGGCGGGATGGTCACGTGAGGGTCCCCATTTGAAAAGATGGGAGGGAACACGCCGGGGTCTTCAGTGGGAAATGACCATCGGGGACGCCTCCTGGCTGGCCTGCAGGCGTGTTTGCGTGTGCCCAGAAAGCCTCACTTTCTCCTCCGTAAAGAAGGACGTGGCTTCCAAACTCCCTGGTGGGTCCAGCATTCTCATGTCCAGCACTGGGGCTTGGGGGAGGCCGGTTGGTGCCCCAACGGGCACTCGGTCCTGCAACTGCCGGAGGGTTCGCATCAGGGCCTGGCGCTGTTTGGCCTGGTGCCCGCTCATCAGCCCCATCTGGGCCTCCAGCTTCCCCACCTGGCTCTCCTGCTTCCTGCGGGCCTTCTGGTAGGCGAGGAGCAGGGCGCTGCAAGGAGAGAGGGGCAAAGGAGTGGGCTGAGAGGGGGCCTGGGGACCCCGGAGCAGCCGGGGGAACCGCGTGGCCCAGGGAAGAGACGGTGGGGCCCAAAGCAAGCGCGACACTCCTCTGAGCCTTCCCCAGACCCGGCGTCCCCCCGATCTGCTGGATGAGGGTGATCGGAGTTTTAGTCCAACATGCCTTGGGTGGGGCAAGAGGCTGCAGGCCGTTCCATGCTGCCCCTGCATCTGGTAGACTGCTGCTGTACCTGGTGGTTCAGTCTTAATCCCACCCCCCTCATCAATTTGCCTAGAACATTTACAGGATGTAAGACCAAGAGTGAGCTCTTGGGGTCCTGCAGGGCCACAGGGTGAAGAGCTGTCAGGGAAAGGGGGAGCCTCTCCCCTAATTTACCTGTGTGCTTGGAAAAAGTCCCACAGGAGCTCCATTTCTTGTGCCTCACGGGCCTTGCAGTCTCGGCTTCGCTCCTCCAGGTCAGCGAGGAGGG